TGGCAAAAGAAAACAGATAGGATAAACAGGAGGGTTAGCATGGCAGAGCCTAGAAAAATCTGAAAGCAGTGTGCAGTGTGCAGAAAGAAATCTTTGACTAAGCCTCTGGGTGAACAGAAAATTCTAAAAGGTTAGCATTTTTAGTGACACTTAAGAGCAGGTAGTTTGTGTCAAATAACTGAATTTAGAATCAGAAGAGCTAGGTTCAAGTGCAAGCTCTGACATTTCCCAGTCAATGACTGACCCGGCAAGTCAATCACTCTGAACTTTAGTTTCCTTTTCTATGAAAAAGAAATAATACCTATTTCACAAGGTCATTCTAAAGATTAAATGAAATAACTTATGTGAAAGTGCTTTACAAACTTCAAAACTACAAATGCAAGGTATTGTTAAAATACCATAGTATGCTGCTAGCTAAACTAAGTTTGCTCACTTTTTAAAATTTTGATTGGGACCTACTAACTTTACCTCAGCACTTGTAAAACATGTTTGAAAATGTAGGTATCAAATAGTATTGTTCTACTTGAACCATATTTGATTTCTCAGTATAAATTTGGCCAGTAATATTTTCTGCTTTCTTTACTGTACAAAACTCAAACCAAACTCACTGCCATCAAGTTGAATCCGACTCATAGTGACCTCCTCCTTGGGGTTCAAAGGCAGTATCTCTACGGAAGCAGAATGCCCAATCTTCCTTCCAAGAAGTGGCTGGTGGGTTTGAAGCGCCAGCCTTCTGGTTAGCAGTCAAATGCCTTAGGCACTATGCCACCAACACTCCCAAGAAAAATGTTTTCCTTCTGTGTGTCTGTGTCCATAATTATATATCTGCCATAACTCAGTCCTGTTGTTGTTGTTGTTGTTATTTGCCATCGAGTCGGCCCCAACTCATAGCGACCCCTCCTTGGGTTTTCAAGGCAGTATCACTATGAAAGTAGGAATGCCCAACCTTCCTTCCGAGGAGTGGCTGGTGGGTTTGAACCGCCAGCCTTCTGGTTAGCAGTCAAGTGCCTTAGGCACTATGCTACCAGAGCTCCTAAACTCAGTCCAGACTAAATTTATTACGTGTTTTCCTAATTAGACTAATCTTCAATTTCACAGAAAGTTATGATAGAATCAAAACAAAACCAAAAAAAACTCAATGCCATCGAGTCAATTCCAACTCATAGCAACCTCCATTGGGTTTCTAAGGTGGTATATCTTTACGGAAGTAGATTGCCCCATCACCGTGGAGCAACTGGTGGGTTTGAACTGCCAACCTTCAGGATGGCAGTCAAATGCCTTAGGCACTATGCCACCAGAGCTCCAATGACAGAACCGGAGGGGAAAAAAAAAAACTCACTGCCATCAAGTCAATTAGACTCATAGTGACCCCTCCTTGGGTTTCCGAGGCAGTATCTCTACAGAAGTAGATTGCCCAATCTTCCTTCCAAGAAGTGGCTGGTGGATTTGAACTGCCAGCCTTCTGGTTATCAGTCAAATGCCTTAGGCACTATGCCACCAGAGCTGCCTATGACAAAACAGTAGTCCAAAATGTGGCGTTTTTAGAATGAGTAAATAAAAGTTTCCTTATCTTCATGCTTTTTCTCACTCTCTTTCCCCAAAGACATTATTGGGGGGAGGGGGGCTTAAAAATGAGAGATTTAAAAGGGGATGGTGAGAGATGAATGAGAAAAGGAAGTACTAAATTTTTTCTTAACAATACTATTAAAATTCCATTGGAAGATTAAAACATTAAGATATTTAATCTGGTATCCTATGAAAAACCATTCAATTTATGTCCTAGATTTCAACTTATGTTAGGTTTCATAGATTGTAGCTTGAGAAAATAACAAGTATGTTAAGTTTATACACATGCAAAAGAGCAAGATTTTATATAAGATACAATATATTCTATATCAATGAATTAGAGCTGTTTTTATAAATATTAGTATAAATAACAATTTTTTTGATTTTTGTTATTGTTATGTGCCGTCGAGTCGGCCCCCGACTCATAGAGACCCCCTCCTTGGGTTTCCGAGGCAGTATCGCTACGGAAGTAGGATTGCCTAACCTTCCTTCCGAGGATATGAAAACCAAAAACAGTATTAATTTATATTCAGAATAGACTCTTCATGACCTTCTCTGAATGGACACACTGTAATCCCTAATTCATTAAAGGAGGTCTTGGTTGGGGGGAGGGAAGGGGCGGTGGACAGTTGGTTTCCAGTAGAATTTCATTAATATGTTCAAGATTCTGCATAGAGCCATCATTTATAAGTCTCCAGAAAAATTTAAGTACCTCAGTGGCAAAAAAAAAACAACAAAGTAAGTAGAAGTTTTTTGAACAATAAACTGAAATCCATTTACTAAACACTTCTGTGTAGTAAAGAATTTGGCTTTGCCCAAAGAGAGGTGTACTCTATCCTCAGATCCTGCGATGTAACCTATAAACCCTTGGATTTCTGAAGTGATAGGAGCGTCTTTGTTATTCATGGTGAGCTATGTGATACCAGTCTAACCTCCAGAGGGAGAGGGCTAGGAACTGAGTTCAACCATGTGGCAATCAATCATACCTATGCAGTGAAGTTCTAATAAAAACTCTGAACACGGAAGCTCAAGTGAGCTTCCTTGGTTGGCAATACTTGGTACATATTGTCACATATCAATTCTAAGAACATAACACACTGAGAACAATGGAAACTTTGTGTTTAGAACCCTCCCAGACTCAGCTCTATGCATCTCCTCCTTTGCTTGACCAATTTTATCATTTATTAAAATGTATACTTTCAATTCCTTAAAAAATAAAGTGCAACCATGAGTACAACAGAACTAATAATAGCTTTCAGTTAGTTCTGTGAATCCTTCTAGCAAATTATTCAATCTGAAGGTAGTTTTGAGAAACCCAGAAACCAGAAGTTGGTGTCAAAAGTGATTTTCCCTTCCCCCAACTCCTAACTAACTAGATAGATGACACATGTTGAAGGAAAAACAAAATATGTAAAGGTAGTTTTTTAATACTGTGCTCTCAGACTTTGCAATTTGGCTAATTTTAGGTGCCCTCTAATATAGCAATTTCTGAAATACTATCAAGTAAATATCAAATAGCAAGGAAAAAAATAAGAAAGAACATCTTGTATAACTGAAATTATAGTATCTACTAATTTAAACAAATTAGAATCTAAAACTCGTATGTATCAACAATTTCCCTTTTAAAATATACCACTAAATCACTGGATATAAACAAGGTTTAAAGGCATACATCAAGGGGTAAATAAATACTAAAACTTTACTAAAAAGTAACTTGTAAAACTTTAAACTTCTAGAAATCAAGTGACATTCCAAAATAAAATATTAAGATTTAATACTATTGAGATTTTTAAAAATAACGCAGATGAAATTTCATGTAAGTTTTCATCTTTATGTTTATATACAATCTTGAAATCTACCCAAAATTCTACATACCTTACATATATAAAATTACACATACCTTATAAAATTAATATAGGGCAGCTTGGTGATGCCTACTACTAACAAGAGTCTGGTGGTTTGAACCCATCCAAAGGCATTGCAGAAGACAGGACTAGCAATCTGCTTCTAAAAGGTCACAGCCTTAAATACTCTATGGAGTAGCTCTACTCTGCATATATGGGGTCACCATGAGTCAAAACTGACTCAATGGCAACTAACAAGAGCAAGATGATAATAGTAATAATAATATTTTGTTTTAAAACCAAAATATATTGATAATTTAAATAATTACTATTATTTTTAGTATTTTAAAGGTATATGTTCATTTTATAAAAGAATAGGTTATGTATTTTAAACAAGTTTTATTTCCCATAATAAGTAATGTAAGTAGTATTTCCCACTAGGTCGTAATCCAACTCCAGTGATTTTAGCCATAAACCCACAGCCTTTGAATCAATTGTGATTCACAGTGCCCCTACATGACAGAGTAGAACTGCCCCATAGGGTTTCCAAAGCTGTAAACCTTTACAGAAACAGGCTGCCTCATCTTTCTTCCATGGAGCAGCTGATGAGTTTGAATTATGGACCATTCAGTTAGCAGCTGAGTGCTTTAACTACTTCTCCATGAGAGCTCCTATAATTAGCTATATGTGACAGTAAATAATATAACTCACAGTAATCATATTACTGTCTAAACAATGACTAAATAGTGATAGCATCAAAACGATGTTCATGAAAAACAAACTTAAAGTTCCAAACTATACTTCTATCAAATACACCTTTATCAAAAGAATTAAGGGATTAGGTTCATTTTACGAAATATTTATAAATGTAAAATTCATAATTTATAAAATTATATTTATAAATGTAAAGTTTACAAAATAAAGTATATTTATAAACATAGAATTTGTAATTTTATTATGCATATCATAAAGTACAAATGTCTTTGTTAATTAATAGGATATATATATATCTATATGTTGTTGTTGTTGTTATGTGCTGTCGAGTCAGACCCGACTCATAGCGACCCCTCCTTGGGTTTCCAAGGCAGTATCACTACGGAAGTGGATTGCCCCATCTTCCTTCTGAGAAGTGGCTGGTAGGTTTGAACCATCAGCCTTCTGGTTAGCAGTCAAGTGCCTTAGGCACTACACTACCAGAGCTCCCATCTATCTATCTATCTATAAATATATATGAAAATCTGTAGGCAAACAAATTATCTTTATAAAAGGATTTTCTTAAATTCTGTCACTATAAAATTATTTTTGTGTAATTAAGTTAGGATAAGTTTTTAAAGCTAAGAATAATACATTGTTAAATGCACTCTGATCAATGTAGTGTGCATGACATTTACTTTGTAATCATAGTATAGGTAGAGCTAAATATGCATGTGATTCTTCTAAGTACAAAATTAACCATTTAAAATATATAACACTATTAAAAGTGATCATATATAGAAGGTAAAAAAGAATTTGAAAATATACCAAAACACCACTTGCCTGGATGTGCTTTCCAAATGGCCCAGTTAGAAATAAACAGAAATCAGCACTTACTCAAACAAGACCTTTTGCCAGCTGCACTTGCACCACCTGAACACAAGTTGCCTCCTCGATGAATTAATTCAAGTTCCAAATTGGTTCTGTAAATAAAGCATCAAAATATATTTCAGTCTTTAAGCTGAATCTATGCTTTTTAATTTTTTTATTGATATGCTTGGATTGACCTAAATAGTAAGAATTCTTCAACTTTATTATTTGCAAAAGTACAATTTATACAGTATCAGTAATGATCATGTTATCTGACACTTAGAATAAAAAGGGGAACAGTTTATCCATCCTCACTTATATGTTCATATTTGTACCTGCAAAGAATTGCACACATCACAGTATAATTATTGCAAAGTCCCAACTGATGCAAATATAAAAGTAGGCCTTAAGGGAAAAAAAATTGCAACATATTTCATAAACCTGCAATATGAATATGATGAAAGAATTTATACTCCGTCAGCCACTGGGTGGATAATCACTGTCCTACAAAACAAAATGGCATACCAATTTTTCTATCAGAAAATTGTATCACTCATTGGAGCTTAGATGGTAACTTGAAATCAGTACTAAAAAATAAAAGCACTATCATCAAAGTGACTATAAACAATGCACATAATTAAAAGTAGTCTCTTCTATGGACTTCTAAAATTATGTTTTATTAAAATACACTGTAACCACTGACACTGTTAAACACCAGTATTGTTTATATGAATCTAAAATTGCAACATATTTAGCAATTATTAGCTTACAGAATGGCAATAATTACTAAACTGCCATTTCAAAAATCAAATTGATGCAGAATCTAAAAATTTACTCAAAACAGTTAAAAGTAGTATAGCCAATTAGTTATGCCAAATAATGAAAAAAATTATGTATACTTTTACTTCAATACCATTAATAAACTTAAACACACCTTTATTTTCTAAAATTGAAATACAACTGAACAATTTGTGTAGAGATTGTCAAATGGAAACCTAATTTTCTGTGTAAACTTTTACAGAATACACAATAAAATATTTATTTTTAAAATGAATAAATTAGTTTATATCCAAGATATGCATTGAACAGGGAGAGGATACCTCCCATGTAAAATAAGGCACATTCCAAGTTTATTCTTTCCAAGTAAATGTAAGAAAAAATATTATTCTATTTTATTGAAAATAAAACTTGTTGAACTGTTTTTGGTTATATTTTGAACACAGAGTATTCTGAAATTATATTTTGACTTATTTACTTATAAATGTAAATTGTTAAACATTTTAATATTCCTACATCTGTAGCTTTTGCTACTCATTTCTAAAGGAATGCCTTAATCCTCTCTACTCAGGGGGAAAAAAAGTAATTTAACATTGATAATGTTCCCGTTCAGAGCTCCATCTGGTTGCTGCTGATAAGGGCATCTGTGTGACAAGGGAATTTTCCACCCTTCAGGCGATTTGCATTGCTCACTGAACTTCTAAAAACCTACCAGCAAGGAAGCAGGGACAAGGATTTCATATTAGTGGACAGAAAGCGAGCGGAGACCAGCATGTGTTCCTTCATCAAGGGAATATAAATGAGATCAATATATTTTGTTTTCACAAATCTTCTGTTGCCTAATCTGTAGAAAAAAATTAATGGCTATATTCTCTTATAAAAACTAAGATTTCCTAGACAGTACTTTTAAATGAGCTAACCAGAAACACGAGCAATTCTTATAAATGAATGTCAGAATCAGAATTTCAACTATCATTTCACCACAAATTTGCAAAAATATTCATTATTAATACAATAACAATTGTTAATTCAATCACAAAATAAAGTACTTTAAGAAATGACAAACATGTTACCCAGAACTTGATTTTAAATACTTAAATTAAGAAAAAAAAGGGACTAAATCTAGTTAACTTTCAGATCATGGTGAGATGATCTGCATAACATTCCTTCTGACTTAAAATTAAAAAAACTACCTATCCAAAGGGTTAATATCATATAAAATATACCTGTGACTTTAAAAAGCAGAGTTAGAGGCCCTATCCATCAACTTTATTTTGTTTACTTCAAACCTGACCATTTAGCTAGATACTTGCTAGGGAAAAGAACAAATTTTCTTCCATAAATCTATTCAAATCAATTGTTGTTGTTGTTACTGTTATGTGCCATCGAGTTGGACCCGACTCATAGCGACCCCTCCTTGGGTTTCCGAGGCAGTATCACTACGGAAGTAGATTGCCCCATCTTCCTTCCGAGGAGCGGCTAGTGGGTTTGAACCACCAGCCTTCTGGTTAACAGTCAAGTGCCTTAGCCACTATGCGAAGATGAAAATGTCTACATTTTGGAAGAATGATCAGAGAGACTGTTTCCCTTATAATTATATGGCCCTCCTTGTACAGGGGCAATCTCGATGGTGGCTGACAACAATTATGTTGGTTACTTAAACATATGCTTAGAAAAACTCCTCTAATTATGCTCCATTTTTGTTTTGTTTTTGCATGACCAAAGTGTGGTCTCCTTTGATTCTAACAACTAATACACACACATACAAGCACAATGGTACAGTGCAACAAGGACTTTACAAAAAGATCTCGGCTCAAGGCCTGGAACTTTAGCTAGTTATTCAATTTCTCAGAGAAAAATAAATTCTTTTTCCATACTACACCTACATCATACAAGACTCAGATTAGTTCTAACTCTTCCAAGAAGTCTTACTAAAATAGGAACAAAGCACTTCCATATACTTCATATTTCAATCTGTTTATCTTCTCTTTTTCTATATGACATTTTTAAGAAGAAAATTGTTTTATATAAACTGATGTATTTTAGTTTTGTCTCTCCAACTGTGAGGCCTGAGTCCTGATGGCCTCCGGGTAATTCTTTAACCAGAAGTCTTTAGTGCCAGGGATTCTAACGCGTCCCACGTCTCAGGGCTTTTATCTCCCCTCCAGATTCCAGTACGTATCAGAGCTTCACCTGGCTCCTGCAAGTCTCCCACGCATCAGGACTTTACATCCTCCCTAGATAATTATTCCCTAACTGGACTTTAGGGCCAGGGATTCCAGCACGTCCCCCCACGTCTCAGAGTTCTGCCCTAAACCCCTTAGCAACAACCAATCATCTGTACCCCTTTGCCCTGGTACTACTCCACCCTATATTTTCCCATAAAAATGTAGTAGTAAGAGAGCACGGGGTCTTTTGCCCAAGCCGCTGCGTTGGTGTAAGCAGGGACCCTAGTTCGAGCTAGCAAATAAACTTTCCTTTGGCTTTTGCATTATCGTGTCAGTGGTGGCTTCCTCGCGCCGACACTCCTTTCCGAACACAGGCACAACACAACTAAGTTGCAAATCCCTGGAGAGCAGGCAGCATTTCAGATGCAGTTTCTAGATTCCCCATTGTACCTAGTAAAGTGCTCAAAAATTCTTAGGACTTCACAACCCCTTTGTTTTGATATATGGCCAGTAATAAGATTCTCTTTGGTCCTTGAAATTCAGTCTCTTTCTTTTGCTGACTGTTCTACATGCCTTAAACCCAGCAGTGGACAGAAACAGAGGGTTACTTGTTTTCAAAAGGAGCGTTTTTCATTCTTAAAAAGGATTCCAAATTTGGTATTTTGGTAAATATTTATTTATAAAATAATTACAAAGTTTAGACTTATAATAATGCAACTACTGTCTAAAGCAAAGTACATGCATTCACTTTCCGAAGCAGTTTCCCCAGTCATGATTTAAAGATGCCTCTCCATCTACATCTCAGTTATTTACGTTTCATCTTCTTTCACTTCCATGTTTCTTACTATAAACAGGCCAAGCACTGCTCACCAATACCTCTAAGCTGTATGTAACATGGATCCAAAAGTCCCTGGAAAAATCAATTACTGAAATTCATGACATTCATTGTCTCAATAATGAAATAAATTGGTATTTAAGTAGAAAGCTTTCTTCCCCAAAATTTACTTTCCATAAGCAATCTGAGTAACTGATATTTGCAACAGAATGTTTTTTTGAAACACATAAAAGCTTAAATACAGTTATTTTGATTAATTTTAATGCAAACAAAAAGATAACATTCCAATAATTTCTCTTCTGCTGCCCTGAGAAAATCCTCCAAGCCTTTACTATGCATATAAAAGAAAAAACAAACAGATCTTTACTGTCTTATCAAAAAAAAAAAAACCTCTAAAACAATTATTAAAGGAAACAGCTTTACCAGCTAATTACCCACTAGAAATATTTTGTTGTTAAACATCAAAAAATTTAAGTTCACTGATAAAGATTAAACAAATAAAATTACTTATTCAGTTAGGAGAAACTGAGTTCTGAGGATCGAGGTTGTGTTCCACTCAAGTTACTAACGCCAAATACAAATGAAGTTGCAAGTTCTAAGGAATTATGCTTTTAAAAATCACTATATTTATGCATTTGAATTGAAAAAGTTAAATAATTCAAAGATTACTGGCTACATATTTTATGTAAATATTTTAAAAATTGCTAAATATTGTAATAACTACCTTTTAGGAATAAATATTTGCTAATCATAAATATTTATGAAGTAAGGTTATAAATACTTATAAAATAAGTATAAAGAGCTGATTTCCTATGTTGAGAAAATGACATCCTATTCAAAATAAGAAACAACAAACTTTTTTCCTTCAATTCACATTTTTATTAATTTTTAAGTCCATTTGTTTTTTGTTATTTTGTTTTTAATGACTAAGTAAAATTTAGAGAAGACATATAACCTTACTGTGAGAATTCTGAAATGGCCTGATAATTCCAGGCAAAGAATACTGAGGTTTTTAAGGATTATATATCTTCACTTCTAAAATTTTATCTCACTACTCTATAGTGTGCCAATGAGGATCAGAAAAGAATGGGGTGAAAAAGGATCTTTTCTGTCTTTCCTGTCTTTCTACCTACATCCTCATTAAAGCATATGACATCTTTCCCTACTTCTCTATAAAATGGAAAAATCCCAATGTGTTGATCCACATTATCGTTTCAAGCTTTATTCTAGATGTAATTTACATAATGAAACCAAGAAACAGAGATCTAAAAATTTACTGAACTAAATTTAAATCATTTGATTTATCACAATGTAGTAAAATTTCATATACCTATCATTCCTATTCAATCAGGATTTTCTTATAAGGCCAATCCTGTTAAGAATGAGAAATCGTAAATACGTGAGCTGATGACATAAATGTATACATACTAAAAAGCGTAATTGAGTTGGTTTATATTCACCCCAATCTCCTGTAACCTTATAACTACAACAGTGTACAGAAGTTTGCAAAAATCTGAAACTATGGCAAGATTAAATGATATTCTATTTAGTTTTCACATATAGTTTACTAAAAGTAAGCAATAACTGGTAGCTTTCCAGAAACAAAGTATTAAATTAACTGTTATATCTTCCCCAAAGTATTCTGGATGAATAACATCAATAATCTAGGAATATGCAAAAATTAGAAAGTTACTTCCCAATCCATTTATTCTTTTTACATCCACCCCAATCCAGCATTTGCATTTTCAGGCCAAAGACTAACATTTCCTTATCATGAGCTATGCTTTTAATTTTCCTAGGTTCCAAAGACCACATATGGTTCATTTACTCTCTGCTCCAGCTCTGGTAGCGTAGTGCCTAAGGCACTTGATTGCTAACGAGAAGGCGGTTCAAACCCAACAGCCACTCCTCAAAAGGAAGGTTGGGCATTCTACTTCCGTAGTGATACTGCCTCAGAAACCCAAGGAGAGGTCACTATGAGTTGGGTCCGACTCAACGGCACATAACAACAACAACAGGAGTAGGGCAGAGAGAATGGCTATAATAAACTGCATGGACATAAGACCTATAAAAGCTCAACAAAGCAGAGGGAAAAAGAGGATAGTAATTGTTAACACTAAAACTCGACTCAAGAAACCTGAGTTTTAGTCCTACTCTCCCACCAATTTGCCACATGATATCAGTCACATTATCTCTCCAAATTTTACCTATTGCACTACTACTTGGACAATATAAAGTACACTTCCAGAAATAACCAATATCAGTTTTGGCAGAATGTGTTTATAAGGACATAATTGTGTCTTCTTCTCCCTAATCTACTTCTTGTATGGTCTTCCATTTTCACTCAATTATGGTCTCAAAACTTCCTACTTGAAACTATTCCTTAGGTATTGAACACTACTCAGTATCTATCAGGCTAATCCTTCCTAACTAAAAGATGAGAATCATTTACTTATGACTGTTTTCCTGAACCTCCTGCTAGCTACAAACAGTCTTAGAATATGGCTGACATCTGTTTCCTCTATTTTCATCTGATTTTCTAAACCTTTTGTAGTCTAGGATATTACTTTGATCTTTCACTAGGTTAAAATAAACAAACAAAAACTAAGTACTTCTACTTCTTACTGTCCTCATTTTTCCATAAATAAAACTTTTTCACATACTACAATGTTTTAGTTCTCAGTTTTACCATTTTTTGACAAGACTTAAATGATAGATAATACACAGATGCCTTGAAGGAAATATCTATTATAAAATGTTAATAATATACTCATCCCCACATGTCCTATAATGCTTAATAACATTCATAAAATTATCTTACAGGAAAAGAAGGAAAACCTACACATCTGTAGTCCTACTAGTGGTCCTAAAACTACCCATAAAGTTTAACTATCATCAAAAATACTCATTCTTCCCTTAAATATATATAAATGCTGATGAATAAAATACAGATTAAACATTAAATTTAATAATAATAATAATAGGTAAACACAAAGATATATACTATATATACCTACCTAGCAACAGAGTACATAAAGAGAAAGTCATTATCCGGTGAGCCCGGGGTCTTGCTATAGTCTCTATATTTCTTCTGAGTGGTATTTTTGATATCTTTCATTACAGATTCCATTTCTTTATTTAAGTTGGTTTCTGACTATAAAAAATGCAAATATATAAATAAAGTTTATTTATATTTATTTTCTCTAATAATAGTCTGATATTTGAATGTTCATCATATGAACACACCAAGAAATTAAAGTTCAAGAGTCAAAACAGATGTAGCATAGCTATCTATTATACACAGATTTATTGCACAAAGATGAAACTAATTCAAAAATACTTTCTTTTATTTTAATGATCTTTTATCCTAATTTTATATTGTGGTTGATAATATTATAATCCAACCATACAAACTAAGCCAGAGAGCAGGTATCATTAAAATAACATTTTCTAACAAGCTTTCCAAGTTTATACATATTAAAAAAAATCAATTTTCATTTAAGTTTCTCTTAAAGAAAATATCAATGTCTCTTACTTTAAAAATATCTTAAATAAGTAAAATTTGAATTTACAAAAGGAAAAAGAAAATCACAAAGTCTAAAATTAGTCCTCACTTGCAAAAGGGAATTGCCAGGAGATGATTCTTTCTAAGGAGATTTAAATTATGATTTTCTGTTTCAAAAGTCAAATACTACAGAAACCTGGCACAGCTGTAACTTCTCTCAGGGACCATATCCTAAATCTATAATGAAGATTAAATATTTTAAAAATTTAAATAAAATAAATAACTCCTGGGAATGGGATTAAAGATGGGCTCACTCATGCCAAATGCCACAGTAGACTGACTTATGTATGGTAATAGTACAATCAATTAAACAACATACTAAAACCAAACTCTTTACCATCGAGTCAATTACAACTGATAGCAACCTTGACTGGGTACTAAGGCAGTAAATCCACAGAAGTAGATTGCCTCATCTTCCTTCCATGGAGCGGCTGGTGGATTTGAGCCACCAACCTTCTGGTTAGTAGTCAAAGGCCTTATCCACTACACTACCAGAGCTCCTTCTAAAATATGTTATGGCTCTCTAATACACACACACACACACACACACACACACACATGCTCATACCTACAGAGACACACATAAACACACACCTGTGTGTGAGTATATAATCTTAATTCTAATATTCCTAATGGGCATATTTTAAATGATGAGACTGTATTTTATAGCAAAAAAATAATGTACCAAGATTGTGCCTTGTTTGTTTGGCTTTGTTTTTAAGTATTTCAACGCTTGAGAAGAATCTAACCATACCAAGGTTTGTAAATTTTCATGATCTGGAAGAGTACATTAAAGCTGTAACAACTGGGATAAAGTATAGCCTTTGGTATTAATTTGTTCCATTACTTTTTATTTTGTTTTTTGATAACCACAACAGAAAAGAAAAACTTTTAAAAGCCATTTCTACTACATCAATAAAGGCAGAGAGTCATTTAGAAACTGAATGAAAATGAATGCTAAATAACAGAGCTAAGTTAACCAGGATATATCTGCCTTACACTGATGCTTACTGTGAAAGCACCTGGCCGTCCCTGCAGCTCCTCCACTTCCTTTATGAGATCTTGCATGCTTTTGTTACTAGGACGTTTCCAAAGGTTACTTTCCACATTGCTTCCAGGATAACAAGGAAGAACACTGTTAGCAAACTGCCTACAGAGAGGGCACGTGAATTCTCCTTTGTCCACTGAGAAGCCCTGAAGAACCTGGTCATTCTAAAAGATGAAATAAACATACAGATGTATGACATACACATTTACAGAAACCAAAATTATGCTGTCACATTTCACAGTAAATTTATGAACAATTAAGAAAACAAGACATCTCTAAAATGTGTTGTAAAAATAAAATCTCTCATTTAACTGTTGAGGAGGCTTACCAAATTACTGCTTACATCATAGCAATTATGCAACGTTTGCCCTCACCAATGAACTGCTCAAGTATTTCACTCTTCCTCAGTTTGAAACATTCAAATAATGATACAACCAATCTGAAATGTGGATTTAAGATAAAGAATATTTCAACAAGTAGGCCACATTAAAGCAGGTCACCTTCCCATAGTCTTGGAGGACATAATGATCAATGGGCACAATATAGCACATAAAAATCTTCTTCTATATCCTACTTTGGTGAGTAGAGACTGGGGTCTTAAAAGCTTTCAAGCGGTCATCTAAGATGCAACTATTGGTCTCCTCTCACCTGGAGTAAAGAAGAGTGAAGAAAATCAAAGTCATTTGGAAACAATTACTCCAAAGATATGGTGGACCATGAGGACCTAAGCTTTCACAACCCAGAGACCAGAAGAACTAGATGGTGCCCAGCTACCAATGCCAACCACTCGTAAAGGGGTCAAAATTAGAGATCCTGGATAAAGTGGGAGGAAAAATGTGGAACAAAATTCAGAAACACAAAACTGACCAGAATAACTGGTCAGATAAAGATTGGTGGAACCCCTGAGACTATGGCCCCAGCTTATCCTTCAAGCCTAGAAATGGCCTCACTTCCATGGATTGGCTCTCAACTCAACAACAGAAAGACCTATATACAGAACACCTACCCCAAGGAGATGCACCCCTTAGATAATCAACCCTGAGACTTCAGAGGGGTAGCATTCATATAGAGGGAAAGCTGGATAGACAGGAATGTATAGATAAAGGCATAGGGAGGGGTAGTCACAGGGAGAAGAGGGGAGGAGAGTTTTTTTACTGCTGGTGATTGTAATCAGGGCTGTGAAATCAAACATGCATGAACTGTTGAATGTAAAACAAATCTGCTTTGTAAATTTGCACCCAAAGCACAATAACATACATACATACATACATACATAAAGCAGGTCACCTTCCTCTTAGTCCACATTCCTGTTGTCACAAACTATAAGTGACTACTGGGAAGACTGTCCCAGTGTCCATGTTATTTGATGTAGGCTAGTTAGCTTTTGAGAGTAAATTAAGCCTAAAAAATTGTGATGCATCTTGCAAGGTATTTTAGTGTTTGGACTTTATCCAGTGTCCTCGGTAGGTTTGTTTAGATTTAATGGATGGCGGAAAGATTTAGCCAGAGTATTCAGAATATTAGAGTACTCAGAGCTTAAGTATAAGAAGAGGAATTAATTTAGCTCCCTTTCCTTCTGATATTTCTGGTAAAAAGAGGAGAAAAAGTAGAATTTTAAAAATACATATACAATGCACATATGTCTAGGAAGAAACTCTTGTTCAGGAGGGGTTATAATACATGCTTCCTACTCAGAGAACTTAAGGAAAGAATTCAGCCTGCACTCCTTATTCCAGTCTTTTACTTGACACCATCCTACATCTATTTTGCTCTTTTAGGCCACTGTTACTGTGTATTTCTAACCACTCTGCTACTCTTTTCCCAGAAGTCTCTCTCTTATTCTGTCATTAAATTAATTTCTCATCTCAAAATGTTTTTATGCATTAATGCATATGTAGGAATGCTATAATATGATCATTATTACCAAAAAGACAAAAATGACCATCTTATGGTCACAAAGGTCATTTTTGCTAATGCCAAGATAAACTTACATTTCCTAACTCTTGATTTGGTGGTTCATTCCACTACATCTTTCACCTCACCTCAAGTACTTTAGCTAAAAGAATTGAATTCTACTTTTTCACTTTTCGACATATTTCCCAATCCTTAAAAATTTAACAACCCCAACTAACCCCACCAACATTGAGTTGATTCTGATTCATAAGAGACCCTATATGACAGAGTAGAACTGCCTCATAGAGTTTCCAAGGCTACAAATATTGGCAGAAACAGACTGCCTCAACTTCCTCCCACAGAGAAGCTGGTGGGTTTGAACAACTGACCTTTTTTTGTTTGTTAAGCAGCTGAATGCTTTAACCACTGCACCACCAGAGCTCCTTGATGTAACACCATGTCCTTCTAAATCCAATTCTACAAACTCTTACTAAGCTTCCACTATGTATCAGATACTGTGCAGGTGCTGGCATAGAGTTATGACACATCTTTTCTTCTTAAGGTACTCACAATTGAAAAGCAAATAGAAACAAATAAATTATAATATAGTGCATAAATGCAACAGAGAAGGCTTCCCAGAGAAGAAAACTTGTGAGCTAAGCTTTCAAGATACACAACAGTTTACTTACAAAAGGTTGGGGCTGGGGTCCTGGTCATTTAAAAAAAAAAAAAAAATTCTATGATAAACAAACTTCCCTATTGCTGCTTATGCACAGGGAGACAGCTCAGGGGGCAGGAGCACATGGAGGGATGGATACAGGGAAGAGGTAATTATCAGGAGGAAGTGGGAGGGGAGCTGTTGCATTGTGGTAAATTGTGGTCAATGTCATGAGACAAAGTGTATGTGAACTGCTATATGGAAACTGAATTTGCTCTGTTAATTTTCACGCAAATCACAATAAAAAAAAAAAAAAAAAAAAAAAACTTCCCTATAGCATTAATTGCAAAGAATAGGAGGCCCTGTTTTTTGCCTTCATTGAAATCAGGTCCTTTCCTGACACCTTAGCAAAAGCCCTCTCAACTAGGCACCACCACGCTCACATTCCTCATACCTCAGCATCTTCCTCAGCTTCCAGTGCTGCCTAAACATCATTACTCCTGCTTTCTCATCTTTGCGGCACATGTCACTTAACGATGCTAGCATTTTTCCTTCCTGTCAGTGTCACTCATTGCCCTCAATCACAGAATTTGGCACCTAGATCAGAGTTTACAAAACTTCTTAAAAACATCTATTTCTGTAAAATAACATCTGTCTGTAAGAATACACACATCCTGCTGGGAGAACAGGAACCCACAATTAGACAAGGAATGGGACACATGTCCCATGCCCACAACGTTCATTCACATGAGGTTGCTGGGCTCAGCCTCCAAGGCTGCAACCATTTCATCATCCAAGCTGCTGCCCTCCTTGTCCTTATTCCTGGACTCCTTACTGGAGTTGCTGGCCATCCTTTCATTCAATTTCCTCATCACTTCAAGTCCTGTCATCATCCTGTGCAACTTCAGTGTCTATGTGGATGATCAATCTAATATCTTAGCTCCTCAGCTCCTTAACCTCATCAGCTCTTATGGCTTTGATCTCCATTCTTCTCCAGTACCTCTACCATGACCAGACCCTTATCCTGTAATCACCCAAAATTGTTCTTTCATAATTTAAAATATTAAATTCAAACATCTTACATTCTAACTGCCAACTCCTGTGGCTTTTAGTCCCTCATTTTTCTCTTACTTTATCAAGCTTTTCCTATCTTCAAAAACTCCCCATCAATACTCCTTGCTCTCTTTCCATATGTCATAAAACCTTCACATAATCCTACACTCAAACTGAGTGTTGTTAGAGAAAAATCAAATAACTTTTTACTACAAATCAGCTGAGCCCTGGAAACTTCCTGGCAATCCTTCTCCAAGAACCTAGGAAATGCTCTCTTACCCACTCCCAAAGTGGTTTTTCCAAACCATCTGCATACTTGCCAAGTCCCTCCACCAATCCTATCTCTTGCACCCTTTATTCTATGAACATAAGACTATACCTCCTATCTCAAAGGGAATACAGTCATGGCAGCTCCTTCAGCTTCCTGTATCCTACTCCTACTCCAATATCTAAATAATAAATTCTATCACTTCTTTTTCTCATTCACTATCTATCTTCTACACCCTTTGTTAATCCCTACTAAGTCATCTCCCAACCACAATGCTGCCAACATGTTCTGCCTCACACTTGTTGATCATAATGTCACGTTGATTTATGTCCCCCATGCAATTTCTCACCAAATGCAGAAGATTCTCCTCTTAAATATATCTCAAATCCATAACTTCGCCTCCATCTCCACTGCTATGACCTTAAACCACCACTGTCTTACCTCATAAATGATATAATTGCATTCTTTCTTGTTGTTGTTGTTGTTGTTAGCTGCTGTCAAGTCAGCTGCGACTCATAGCAATCCTATGTACAACAGAACAAAACACTCCTGGTCCTGCACCAGCCTCACAATCCTTGCTATACATAAGCCCATTGTTACAGTCACTGTGCCAACCCATCTCATCGAGGGTCATCCCCTTTTTCACTGACTCTCCACTTTACCAAGTATAATATCCTTCTCCAGGGAATGGTCTCTTCTGACATGACCAAAGTAGGTTAGACGAAGTCCAGCCATTCTCACTTCCAAGGAGCATTCTGGCTGCACTTCCTCCAGGACAGATTTGTTAGTTCTCCTGGCAGTCCATGGTACTTTCAGTATTCTTTGCCAAAACCACAATTCAAAACCGTCAATTCTCCTTCCACCTTCCTTGTTCACTGTTCAGGTTACACGTGCATTTGAAGTGAATAAAAATACTATGACTTGGGTTACGAACACTTTAGTCTTCAAAGAGACTTCTTTGTTCTTTAGCACTTTAAAGAGGTCTTTTGAAGCAGATTTCCCCAGTGCAATATGTCATCTGATGACTTGACTGTTGCTTCCACTGGTGTTGATTGTGGAACCAAGTAATATGAATTCTCCAAAAACTTCAACTTTTTCTCCATTTATCATGATGCTGCTTATTCATCCAGTTGCGAGGATTTTTGTTTTCTTTATGTTGAGGTATAACCCATACTGCAGACTGCAGTCTTGTGTGTGTGTGTGTGTGTGTGTGTGTGTGATTTGGGTGAAAGTTTACAGAGCAAATTCACTTTCCATAAAGCAGTTCATATGTACTTTGTCTCATGACATTG